TTTCTTTATTTTATTTCTTATTACATGTTCTGCAGTAATTTTCGGCATTAATCGATATAAGCTATGAGTTAAGTCCATATGATGTGCTTGTTCGATTATTTCCCATGATGCAAATTTTCGTTCTTGTCCTTCTTCAACATCAAACTCAAGATCATTATTCAATAAATTATTGCGTATGCCTTTAATAAGACATGGTGGGTCATATAATGGGATTATATCTTGCTTTTTTATTGTTATATAACCATCTAAAGAAATACAGAATAATGAATAAAGTTATAATTTAATAAAATATAGTACAATTATACATAATTCAATAATTCAAATATCAATATACTTAAATATTTATATATATGTAATTATATATATATATATATAAAATTTAACATTTAAATTTGATAAAACAAATTATATAATGACTGAAATTAATTATAATTTTTATATTTACAGTAATAGTAATTTAACAAAAAGTATGCTTACAGTATAGTTGTCTTTGTTTCAATTTTAACCTTGCTGATTCTAATTTTAGTTTATTTATAGCTGTGAGATTCCTCTTTCCATTATTACATACAAAGGCGACTAGATACAATCCACTGTCAATTACAATTTTGGCAATATCTTTGACCCACTCAATAAGTTGATCAGTTCTTGTTGCACCATCACAAAAATAATATGCTAGTGGAAACTTCCATCCACTTTGCACACCACGAATCATAAAAATTAATGCGTGATCAGCGAATCGTGCTCTCCTCTTATTGCCAAAATCTTCAAAGCCAAGAATATGTTTCTTTTTTGTGTCATAATCTACGTGAGGTTGCAATAACATTTCATCCCACATTAAAAGACACACTTTATCTCTCTCTTTCATTAATTTTACTTGCTTTTTTAAACGTTTATTTATAAAATTATTTGGACCTGGATGAATATTAATTGTCTGAAGTATAGATCGTAATGTTTCTATGCTGGGTAGATTGAAAACTTGTGTGAGATATTGATAACATTTACTAGATTGTTTCATGATAGATAAAGCTGCAATCTTTTCATTCAGTGTAAAATGTCTATCCTAGAAATAAAATTAGATAAATCTATAATAAGTTGATAGTTTCTTATTATATTCCACTTACATACCTCGGAGGCATACTTTGTCGTTCTTATCTGCATCTGGAGAAAAGCCTGTTCGACAGGTGTTAACGAGGACAATAGTTTTTCTATAGCAGTACTTTTGCTGCACTGCTTAGCTTGTTTTATACGTTCACGAAATGATAATTTCCTCTTTATAACAATCTCTTGCTTCTTCCTTAATATACATGATAACTTGTACAGCTTCCACATTTTTGGTGTAAATTTATGAAAGCACTTTTCATGCAGTAAATTATGCAGATCTAATAAACTGGATGTTGAATTTTTTGGCGAAGAAGGCACTAATTCTAAAGAATCCTTATTTATTGAAGAACTTTGTGATACTTTATTTACTAGAGTACTTTGTGATACTTCTTTATTTATAGGAATACTTTGTGATACTTCTTTATTTATCGGAATAATCTGTGATAATTCTTTAATTAATGGAATACTTTGTGATATTTCTATTGCAGGTTGTTTTTCCTTCTTTATTTCTATTATTTCAATCTCTTCAAGTTGACCAATTGCATTTGTATCTAATGTTTTGCTCTTAGAATCAATTGTACTTATAATATTGTAAGTATGAATCTCACGAGTCTCAGTGTCATGATCATTAATTGTCTCATTGTCTTTACTAGTATTCACTTCATTATTGTTATTGCTATTATTTGGCAGATATAAGGACGGTATAATACCAGGTTTCAATCTTCGTAATCTGTACATTGCCTCGTAATCACTATCGGCAAAATGTCTATAGCATACAACGCACTTTCTTAATTGTTCGTCAGTTAAATTTTGTATTTTCTCTGAATAAATTGCCTTTTTCCATTTATTCATCATGACAACGTCTTTGGGAAACATGTGGGAAGGTAAATTCACTCCTGTGGAACATCCCAAAACGCAGCAATGTCTACCCATAACCTAAAACGTTAAGTTTGTTTATAATCTATCTTACAATATCGTACATTATTTTATTAATATTCATACTCACTATAACTGCGGACAGTGACGGATTGGTTGACTGAACAAGGCAAAACCAGCAATATTAAGTGAAAAAATTAGAAGGTCAAGGCACGCATTTAGCGGAGATACGAACCAAACAGCAGCAAATATATATTTCCAGGCACGAGAGAGACGAGATATATGTAGCAATACTATTATAAGGGGATCTTAAAGTCGTCTATATTACCGATTAAACCATATAATTTTTATATAACAATTACTTTTTTTCTCTTTTACTTTGAAAATCCTTTTTCAAGATTCGAGAAGGAATATCGGCATCGGTATACTCAAGTCTCGTTTTCTTCTTATTCAATTTCAAAGCTTTTATGTCGATAAGTTGGAAAATGATAATTTAATGACATTTTGCAACTGCGCAAACCATTAATATTGTTATTTATGAATTAATAACATCAGTTTAGTTGTAAATTAATTATAATTGATTAGGTATAAGAAAATTCATGTTTTATTTTTAATCAAAGCAAAGAATATGCATTTTAAGTTATTTAACCTATATGGACTGTATATTTATTGTGCATTTTTATTTTGAAACTGTTTTATTATAAGAGTCTGTTTTTTGTTCCTGTACTATCTGAACTAGTGCACACGGTGCAATAAGTTAAAATGAAACAAACGTATATTTATTTCATTTCAACTTATTGCACCGTGTGTACTAGTTCAGGGCTGCGTTCAAAAGCATCACCCAAGTGCTCCTGTATATCGTTTTATCCTTGTTGTCCAACCATGTTAAATAAGGATAAGACAATACACGGGAGCACTCGGATGATGTTCCTGAACGCAGCCCAGACAGTGCAGGAACAAAAAACAGACGCTAATAATACGGACCACTTGACGGAGGGGAGAGAAAGGGAGCTACAAGTCTTTCGAAGCTGTTGATTGAAAGAGAGAAATACTAATTGATCAATCCAAAAAATGCTTCAAAACATCAAGTAGACCGTTGCGTAAGTTTTGACTTGAATTTCACATTTTTGAACTTAATAATTTATAAACTAAACTGGTATTAAAAACCGAATGAGGCAATGCCACAGCAGTCTATAATAAAGCTGGATCACGAGTGCTTCTAAATAATCTCTGTAGTTTAAAGGCTTAGGACACTTGCACGGAATACCAAAAATCCTGGTTCGGCTCCCGGCCGAGGTAATATTTTTCGCAATAAAAAAATAATATTATTTACAATTTTTAATAGGTTATTTAAAATTATTAAGATCGACATAAAAGATGCGTAAACAGCATTAATAATCGTTAAATTGTTAGTCAATTTAACTGATCATGTTATTACTGCGGTAATTTATTAGTATTGCGTCTTAAGTTTAAAAAAATTTCAGCGCGCGCAATCAAGAATTATAATACATATGTAGAGAGTATATAAAATTCACACGTATCTAATTATTTAGAAGTACCCGTGATCCAACTTTTATATTCCTGTGGGATTGTCCCATTTTGTTTGAAATTTAGCGGTCCAATAAGAATTGATATTGATATTATTAATACTTACATTAATAAATGATAACATGAGGTTAAAAAGATATTTTAATTTTAACCATATTTAATCCTTCTTGGTATTTAATTAATAATAAAGATAGAATGTTATTTTAGTATCAACAGTTGTGTTGCCTAAAAGCCCAGCAAACGAGAATTAATTAATTTTAATTAATTAATTAAAATGGATTGGACATTTTATCTATACATTCATGAATCCGCGCGCGCGGCTGAAAATCTGTATGAATCCATTTTAATCCATTTCAATCCATTTGCGTTTACTGAGTGGAAAGCCTATAAAAAAATTTAATATCAATTTGTAATTAAATTTTAATGGATAAACATTTTTTAATAATTATTAATAAAATATATGTAAATAATATTATATATTATTATATATTTGTAAATTAACTAATACCTTATGTATAACAATATCACTTGTTATTACAACAAAAATTTCATAAAGTTATAAGATTAAATTTTATTTTTCAAATTGTATTTTTCTACTAAAGATATATTTTATAGATATAAAATATCTATAGGTTTTTAAATAAAAAATCAAAATTTTTTACATGTTGAATATTATATTTCACACTTATTATGATCATTTATTATTTTACATTTATTATTATTATTATCACATTTATGTAATAAGAGAAGGACTATTCGTAATCATGTATTTAATTTGGGAAAATATTTAAGACACGCTATAAAAAGAGAGAAACGACGGATTCAAACTGTGGACTGTCCCGTCAAATTTATGGTCACCTTAACATATATTCAATCGTTTTTTGATGCTTGCATTTAACAGACTCATAAGACTCAGGAGTGCTCAATGAGCGGTTGTATTGCACTCATTGGCTGCAATCAGCAGAGAAAACTAATCAATTAGGTTAGTGATTCTTTAATACGATTGCCTTTAGTTCTTTGTTGGAAAATCCAAGTGTAGGGGGGGGGGAAGCAATTATATTAAAGAATTCACTATAAGCGCTAACTGATTAGTTTATTTCTTTGCTGAACGCACACTGTAAAAAATAAAATGTTAATTTTAACTCAAAGACGTTGAGTGGATTTTTTGAGATATGCAAAAATGTTAAAATTAACATTAAATCGTTTTACTTCTTTTACGTTCCATTGTTCTAATCTTACGCTCCTTAAAACGTTTGATTCTATCACTCTCCCTTTATATTTGACTCATCTTTTTTTGCTTTACGTTTTATTTTCGCAAATAGATTGATCAAAGAACTACATTGTCGACATGGATTGTTGGTAGTGATACTAAAATTATAAATATAAAGTTATAAATATTAGAGAGACAGAAAGAGAGAAAGAGTTATAGGAATGATGATTGATATTATTATTATTCTTTTTCACATAAAACATATACACATATATATATATATATATATCCTATCTGGAAATTAAAACATCTTGTTTGGCAGCTACTTGATCTGAAAATGTGAATGCGGATATGAATGACCCGGCTAACGGTATATGATCTTTTCCTATTAGGAACAAGATTGTCATTTTGGATCAATAACATCGCCTGGATAGGTTACAAAATCGACATATCTAGCACATGTCGACGAAGAAAAAATGATTTCATAATTTTTCTTTCATATCTTAAATTCTGTTTTAGAACTATGTGCAAATTTTGAGGCATCGAGTGACTCGCTGTTTACTGCGATTGACTCGCGATCTGTAGATCCTACCTGCATCCACATACACAACTTTTCGCGTTTAATGAGAATTGGCTCCAGGACTCCACTTATCAAAAAATGTATGATCATCAGCGTCGTTCGGATTCGTGTATATCCTATACACATATATCAGTGGATATATGTATGGATCCTCCAGGCTAGGAGTTGAATATTAGGCTAACAACTTAATTCCAAAGAAAAGAATCCATTGTTATGTAAACCTCATAAGAGGTAGGCCTTGTCCAGACTTTCAGATGTTGCAACATCGAATGAATGAATATATGAGTTTTATATGTTTTGATACTCTCATTTTCAAATTCCTCTCTGATGAACAAATCAGAATCCTGACTCGTATTATTCTCGGATAGTTCTTCCAGTTAAGAAGGATATCGTGTTTCTTCTAAAGCCTTATGTCCATGATGCTAGAAATCGGTCCAAGATCTCGAACAGAGAAAGAATCAATAAATTACATTTGAACAATTTGGTTACATGATCAATGGGATCGATCAATTCTTTCTTCATTCGAGATCTTGGACCGATTTCTAGCATCGCTGACACATGCGGGGCTTAATACCCTAACATGTTACTAATCAATTGTAAATTTCCTTTTACTGTGCATCATATTTATTCATTTTGGACTTTATTGTTTTGTTCGCTTTCTCCTTCTTTTTTTGTTTGATTTCCTTTTGCGATCAAATTCAGAACTATCAAAGATTCAGAATCCACTTCTTTCTGCGAAAAGAATACATTTAAAATAATGAAAGAATTATACTACTATTATATATTTATATATATTAGAGTTTTATAAATAAAATACATAATAACCTTTCTTTGAAGAAGAAATTATATTGTACGCTGCTCTGCCATTAAAACCATAAATTTGCGTTGTAACGCAAGATCTAATCACAGTTACAAGTCGTTTTAATTATTAGAAATACATGCACGTTGATTTTGCTAAGAATGGTAAGAGAATAAAATAATTACAAAACTTTTATTATTATAACCAAAATTAGGATTGAATATTTCGTGAGGCAAATTTTACGCTGAGGTAAAAGAAAAACATGCAAAAATAAATTTTACAAAAATAAAAAAATATTTTTTTACGAAAAAATATAACTAGAACCGGGATTACATTTTTGGTGCCAAAATAAAAAAAACATGCATTCCTTCTCAACAAAAAAAATTGTATATACGACATGTAAAATATAATAGAGGTATAATAAAATATTAAAATATATGATATTAATATATATAAAAGTAGTATTCAATATTAATTTAATAAATAACTTTATCGTAAAAATTTACAAAAATATATTTTTCATTGAAAGCAATATTTCTCTTGTTCTGATAGTTACAAAATTATCAATTATTTCATCAATATTTGTTATATTATTACATGTATGTCATTTTTATTTAATACACAGCAAGCGTTCAACAACAGATAATAAGTATAGTTGCCGTCGGTAGAGAATTAATTAAAACAAATTTATTGTATATTACCATTTTTGCATCCATCCAAATCTTACACATAAAACAAGTACTTCGATTGCCACAAACCAGTCATGATTCTGATTATTATTACTATTAGCTGTTAAACCGAGTTTCAAATAAAACAAAACCGGGCAAAACACTCATACCTGAAGATTGCACGATGACTGTCGACGAAGATATAGATTTCTTCATTTTATCATTTCTTTCTCTAACATATTGGAATAACGTATTAACACTTTCGAATGACAGTCCCATCTTTTGAGCTAGTTCTTCTATTTTATTTTTACTAGGATATGGAGTTTCTTTAAACACCCGACGTAATTCGTTTCGCTGATCATCCGTGAATATCCTTTTGACGCGTGGCGATTTTTTATGCAGCTTCTTTATTACTTTTTTGTGATTGGATTCGGAAGCATCCTTTTCCTACAAAAAGAATAATAAAAGAAATTATTTTAACATATATATTTAGGTTTTCAGGGTTGTGGCAAGTTAAGCAACGCAGTTACTTTTACTATTATAATAATTACGTTTTGATAATAATAACAATTCAGTAATGACGCTACAATTTTTTATAATAATAATAATAATAATTTTTATAATATATTTTTATATTTTTTATAATTATAATAATAATAGATAAGGTAACGTTAGTTTAGCTAATATAATAGTTCGATTAAATAATAGGGAGTTTTTGCAATACCGTTTATCTCAGATACGATGAACATTAAAGTCACGTTATCCTTTTCTTAATTAGATGTGAAGAAAAAGATAACGTGACTTTAGCGTTCAACAACAGATATCTGGGATAAATGGTATTGCAAAAATTCCCTAATGTGGATGTGTTAAGTTAGCACCCCAACTATAGTACTCAGGAGTTCTGATTAGAGTTCCCACTTCCTTTTGACGAGAAGAGTACCCTATAGTTAATAACAAGTTCCGCTTAATAAACATTTTTTGAAAATTTTTTTAAAATGGGGTGCTAACTTTTTATCGAATTTCGAGGTGGAATAGTTCTGAGTGGCTTAATAACTTCAATTTGTGATTGCCTAGAGTTCCTGATATGTAAAAAAAATTTTCGAATATTAAAAAAAAATTAAAAATTTTTGAAAAATTAATTTTTAGATACAATAGTTCTGATGATAATTCCTGCTTCTTTTTGACAATACGAAGAGTTCTCTATGATTTTTAATGACATATGCGCTTAATAATCATTTTTTAATAATTTTTTAAAAATGGGGTGCTAACTTTTCAACGAAATTCAAGGTCGCATAGTTCTGATCAGCTTAACAGGACTATTTTGTGAATATCTAGAGTTCTTGATACATAAAAAACATTTTTGAAGAATAATAAAATTTTTTAAAAATAGTAAGAATCTTTGAAAAATTTTTTGAGAGTACCGAATAGTTCTGAGTAGCGCTTTTTATAGTTCTCGACGAGTCCTATCGAAAACTATTAGGTGCAAAAGCGATTGAACCAACGGTTTGCAAGATACAGCGACATTTGTCAGAAGATCAATAATTTTTAGAGTGAGTATATCTCAGAAACCGTTGGTCCAATCGCTTTGAGCC